AGTGATCAATGTCAGATTCAAGATTAACGATTGATCCAGCATCCAGTGACACTTCCTGAAGCAAGTTTGAGACTTCCAGCACCTTTTGCACAAAGAAAGATTTCCTAATTGCATTCCTAATAGATCGCGATCTCATTTTACTGGGATATGTCTTTGATCCTAGATTCCACAACCAGGAAAAATAGTTTCTCCCTATCGGCCTTTTTCCCATAAAATCTTAAATACTTGATTGAGTTACTCTACAGCCATCAGATCTCAGTCGAATATAACCCTAGTTTATGTGATATCTTTGCTGGCAATTTAATCCTTGACATCTGGATATCATTCCAATAAATCCACAATGTACTCCCTCCAAGGCCAATATATTCTTCTTAAGGTGTGGTGCCTAGAACAGCTCGCTGGTGTTGATTAAATGTTCCCTTCTACCTCCTTGTATAGTATTCCATTCAATATAAAAGCTTAGTTTATATTGTCTCTGCTTATTCCTCCATTACAAATGCATCTCTTCACACTTTTCCGTGTTAAGTTTTATTTATCTGCATCCATTCATTTTACAGAACTTTCTGTGTCCTCCTGAAGTCTGTTGCTATCTTCCCCACTCTATAACATGTTTCTGAGCTTCTCTACAACTGCAAAGTTTGAAATGATGCCCTTGTAACTCAGGTCCTTAACGTATATCAGAATAGAAGTGACTTTACTTCAACAATCACACAGCGGCAGCAGTTTACCTCCACGTGAACTATATCCTGAAATTCACTCTCATAGAGAGAACAGAGAACAGTAGAGCACAGGAACCGGCCTTTTGGCCCTCCAAGCCTGTGCTGACCATTATGCCATTCTAAACAAATCCCATCTGCCAGTAGTAGGCCCATATCCTTCTATTCCCTTACTGTTAATGTGGTCTGTCTAAATACCTCTTAAGCATTGCCATTTTTTCCACTGTCTTCCCTGACAATGTGTACCATCCTCTGTCTAAAACCTACCTCACACATTTCCTTTAAAATTTCCCCTCTCACCTTAAACCTATCCTCCCCTGTATTTAGCATTTCCACCCTGAGAGAAAGACTCTTGATTATCCACACTCTCCATGCCTCTCACTATTTTGTGTACTTCTGCCAGGTTGCCCCTCAGCCTCTGATGCTCCAGTGAAAACAACCCAAGTTTGTCCAAATTATAGCTAATACACTCTAATCCAAGCAACATCCTGGTAAAACTCTTCTGCACCCTCTCAAAACTTCCACAATCCTTACTATAGCATGATGACTAGAACTGTGCATAATACTCCAAATGTGGCCTGACCAAAGCTGTACACAGCTGCAACATAACTTGCCAAGTTTTATACTCAATGCCCTGTCACTCTTGCATCTCTCACTTTAGACATATTGATCAGTTCTCAATCTGGTAAGGTATCACATTCACATGCACACAAATACTCATGTTGGTGCATTCATTCATAACCACATCACATGATATCTGATGTACCTGAGTCCGATGAGGACCCCACAGCACTGAGCTTTGAAGAAATTTGAGATATGTAACAAATTAAATGCTTTATCCAGTGGACATCTTCCCTGAAGGCATCCTGGACATTATCTAATTTATTCTTGAATGAATCAATGCTATGGATTTTCATCCTCTCACTGAGGAAGCCTGACACATGGATGAACAACGTTTAACAGTGTGGCACAGTGGTGGCTCAGTGGTTAGCACTGCTGCCTCGCTGTGCCAAGGACCTGGGTTTGATTCCACCCTTGGGCAACTGTCTGTGTGGAGTTTGTATGTCCTTCCTGTGTCTGTGTGGGTCTCCTTCCCCAGACCAAAGATGTGCAGGTTGGGTGGATTGGCCATGCTAAGTTGCCCCGTAGTGTCCAGGGATGTGCAAGCTGGGTGGATTAGCCATACAAAATGCAGGGCTACAGAGATGGGGTGGGATGCTCTTCAGAAAGTTGGTGTGGACTTGATGGGCTGAATGGCCTGCTTCCACACTGTAGGGATTCTATGATTTTTAATACCTTGTGAAAACATATTTCTGCAAGCTGGTTTCAAATTTCCAGCCTGTCTCCTCTACTTCTCCTGCTCTATACAAGGCGAAACAACTTGTTCTATTCCACAGCATCCAGTCCCTTTAGAAATCTTTGGAATAGTAACAATTATCATCTGTTTTCTTCTCAATGAGGACATGTCCAGTTTAAACAATCACTCCTCACAAGCCGATCCTTCCAACCCGGCAATCAATCTGCTCTCTCACACCTTACCCCTTCCAACAGGTAAAATGTCCTTCCACACTGTGGGAACTAGAATAAGACAGCATGAGTGTGAACAACAGAGCTTACAATACTGACGGAACACTCCCCAGTTGCCTGGATGAGTGAGGCTCCAAAAATACTAAGGAAACTTGACACTAGCCTGGAAGTTTAATTTGGATAAATGTGAGGTAATACAAACAAGGGCAGGTCTTAAAAAGTGAATGGTAGGGCCTTGGGTAGTGCTGTAGAATAGAGAGACCTAGGCATTCAGGTAAATAACTGTTTGAAGTTTGCATCACATATAGACAGGGTGGTTAAGAAGGTGTTTAGCACGCTTGCCTTCATTGTTCAAACCTTTGAGTGTAGGAGTTAGGACGTTTAGTTTGTACAGGACGTTGGCGGGGCCACTTCTGGACTACTCTGTCCAATTCTGGTCACCCTGCTTTTGTAAGGATATCATTAAGCTGGAAATGGTTTGGAAAAGATTTAGCAGGATGTTCCAGGGAATGAAGCATTTGAGATATAAAAAGACTGGGACTTTTTTCATTGGAGCGTAGGAGGTTTATGGGTGAACTTACAGAGATTTATAAAATCATGAGGACATTGATAAGGTGAATGACAAGGGTCTTTTCCCTAGGGGTGGGGGATTTCAAAATCGGGGGACATATTTTTAAGGTGAGAGGAGAAAGATTTTAAAAGGACATGAGGGGCAACTTTTTTTACACAGAGAGTGGTTCGTGTGTGGAATAAACTTCCAGAGAAAGTGGTGGATGCAGGTAGAGTTACAACATTTAAAAGACATTTGGATAAGTTCATGAATAGGAAAGGTTTGGAGGGATATGGGCCAGGAGGACAAGTGGGAGTGGTTTAATTTGGAAACATGTTTGGCATGGACTGGTTGGACCGAGGGGGGTCTGTTTACTTGCTGTATGATTCTCTGATGGCACCATCCACTGACCACAGCCTTTGCCAGCTTGAAGGACAAGGGCAGCAGATGTGAGTTACTCACTACCCTGACTTAGAGCTATATGCCCATTCCTTCGCTGTCAATGCAGCCTATCCTCCCTGTAACAGTTCAAGAAGGTGGTTCACCATTAACTTCTCCAGGGTGATCAGGGATGGGTAATAAATACTGGCCCAGCCGGCCTCTTCCATATTCTATGAATGGATGAAAAAGCATATACAAATATTCTAAGCATAAAGCACTGATGTATAAAATGATAAGACTATCTCAATATTTTATCTCGATAATGACCTTTCAACACATCCTGATGGCTGCTTTTGTTTGTTGCTGCTGCATGACAAAGACACCTGAGCACTTCCTCAGCATATACACTTCCTCTATCTCGTATCAGAACTATCTATACTGCTATCTGCTGGCCCAGGCTGGAAGCTTACAGAAACATACCCTGTTACAGCCTGTTGCAAAGGCAGTCTCACAATTAAGTTCACCAAGACCGGGACCTTATTGGGTTGTGTGTGGTAGAATGATGAGGGGATGAGGGGTAGAATCACACTCAATATTTGGTGAGACCCATCTCGACATCAAGACCATGTCATTGCGTCTCGTTCACTTTTCCATTGACCCCATGCTGTGTTGTTACCAGGCAGCATTGAGTTTCCAATTGATGCTCATTACAGTTTGTTAAGTGCCTTGTTTTAACACCCAGCTCACCACAGACTGCAAGCATGCCATCCAAACTTGCCATTGGGAAAACTCGTTGTGGAAACCACCCGTGGGTTCAACAGGTTGCTCAATTCCAAACAAAAAAAGCACCAGGCACCAACGTCTCAGGACATGCTCTGACCGTGTACTCCCCACATCCATGGACATTGGCATCTGATATGTGCCAACCTCTAAGAACCCTCATGGGACATCTCCAACTCAATTACTGGATGCTCCTGCCCCTCATTGCTGCACCTTTCGCTCTCATTGTATCTCTGCAGCAAGCACTCTGCGTGCTCAGGGACACACCCCTAGCTCAGGGACTGAACCAGGCTCCATCTCCAGGATCCTCCCTCACTGCCCATAGCACTCATTCACTCTGAGCCTGTCTGGGTGCTCACAGCATCCCTGCCTTGCACTGCCTTGCCTTACTGCGTTTTGCACAACCCCCACCTCAGCCAGAGATACCATGCTCAGATTACCATTACCTTGCCATGCCGTTTGGCACAGGCTCAAACCCAGGAAGCTGTGCCAGTTGTCAGCAGTTCTTAGTCAATTACTCAGGGGTTCCCAGTTCAGGAAGTCAAGGGCAACCTCTAGTCCCAATCCAGGGCCTGTTTGGGATGATCGGAGTCAGGGTCCTCTCCCTGTAATGAGGAACTAAAAGTCAGGTTGCCCACCCCCTGGCATAACTCTGTCTGCCCTACTGGGGGCAGTTTCCCTCCTGGAATGAGAGACAGGCAGGTACTACAGGAGGTGAAAGAGGGTGGTACAGCTAGTGCAGGTGAGAGTGAGAGAGTGGGCAGCACAGAGGGCAGGCAGGGGGTTAGTGGTGTCAGGTCGGGGTGGGTGAGAGTGAGTGGGGGAAGATGATGTAGCTAACAGTGAGAGGTGTAGAGAGTGAGCTTTGGTGGGGAGGTGGGTGCAGTGACAGAGACAGAGTGAGTGGGAGGTGTCACAGAGAAGCTGGTGTCACGTGCCCTGGGAGAACGGAGAAGGTCATTGACCTTAATCCTGTAGAAATGGGCATTCCTCCAAGATGGCTGAGACTGCTTTAACCCAGCGGGGCAACCTCAGACCAGGCTGGCATGGCCTGGCGTCATGGTCTCATGGTTCTGGGGCAAGAGGAAGTCCTGGCTGTGCGCCAGCAGGTCCCAGCCCATAAAATGGGGCAAGGATTTCTCCTGTCCGCCATATCAGGGGCAAATATCAGGAAGCAGGCAGGGCAGCTCCAGACTGGCCGTGCTTGTTGGGGTGTGCAACAGGCACCAAAACGGGCATGGGCACAAGGGCTGCCAGTTAATTCTCCAGAGTGTGGCCAGGAACAGTGTGCGGTAAGATGGGGGCGGAAAGCAGATGTGAGAGCTCAAAAGAACCAGCAAATGCAGGAAATTTGGTAGGACGCGGTGAGAAAGATCCCTTGTGCCAAGGATCACTCCACCCAACGTGACCCAACTCACATTCATCCGAAACACTGCAAGATCCCTGTCCCGGTTGTGGTTAAAATCAGATCATGCACATGCTGCTAAAGTGCATTGCGATCGATAAAGGGTTAAGATTATTAGCCCTAGGCTCTTTGGCAGATAATTCCCACATACCTGCTTGAGGGCACTTCCATAGCAATTATCTTGTGTGGCTTTTTCTCTTGTTCAAAGGCCATTGCGATAGGATTTGATTTAAACAGGAGAGTCCGGAACGATAACATTCATTGGAGGATTATTCAGCTCGGAAGAAGCATGTCGCCGTTAGCGCTATGGGTCCTGAGCCTCATGGCACCTGCATTCTCCCTAACAACTGAGCAAGAAGCCCAGCAATTTCTGAACAGATTTAGCACGGACGCCGAGAAACTGGTCTACAAATCCTCCCTGGCATCATGGACATACAACACCAATATCACTGATGAAAATGCCGATAAGATGGTGAGTACGTTAAGAACTCTAGCCTTAGCATGGGGCAGCCTGTATTTGTTTTATCCACTGATGGAGGATTTGGAAGATTCTTGGGTCTTTAGAAAATGAACTTGTGTTAGGCTGCTCTGTTGGGTTATATTCCCCATCTCTACAATGTAGGACTTACACTGGTGTCTATTTCTCATCATTGTCACCAGCCTCCATCAAAACTAAAGTATTTACCATTCAGCGCCGTTACTTCCTTCATTCAACCACTATTATTTGTGAATCCAATCTGTATTTAAATGTTTGCCACATTTACTATAAGACACTCTCCATTTGCTACCAGCCCTCGGTTGCAAAGACCCGCGAGAATGTTTCCATCTTCGGTGGTTGGCATTTTTTTGGGCAGAGGGAATAATCCACGCCCAGCCCGTGGCACCAGCTCTCACTGTGGTTACTAGGAAGCAAGCAAGTGCTCTGACCTTCATCCATTAAGCAGCTGTCAGCAAAATAGCGCAAGGTCAAATCTTTATGGTACGCCATAAAGTGTCAAGAAAAAATGTCCTTTGACTTTGAATCAGTGCTGCAAGAGATTTCCACAACAGATAGCTGTTAGGAATAAACATGATAGCATTGCCTGGCAACGTTGCCCCAGGTAGCAGAGACAGTATTCAGTAATAATTTGGAAATGGTGCCATGCCAAAGGATCACTCCCAGATTGAAAAAGAGGGACAGAATGTGCCCAGAGAATTAAACAGGGCAGTAGGTAAACAGCAGAGGTTGGGAAATCAATAGAATCATTGCAAAAGGAAAGAACGGAAAAGCATTGCAAAATGAAAACGGCAAAAATGAATAATTAGCATCAATTTAAGGTGATGCTTGCTGATTTTTTTTTGCAGATGTATGAGAGAGTAGATAAAATAATGTGGTAGATGTCATTTATGTGAATTTTCAAAAAGTCTACAGAAAGAGCTCCCAAAGTGGACTAATGAATGAGCAGAGAGCGTAGTGTGGACACTGACAGAAGGACTTGCTGGTTGGCTTCATGACAGAAGGCAGAGAGCAGGAGCAGGGGGGGAAATAGAGATAGGAGCAGAGGGGGAATACAGACAAGAGCAGAGGGAGAATACAGATAGGAGCAGAGGGGGAATACAGACAGGAGCAGGGGGGGAATACAGACAGGAGCAGAGGGGGAATACAGATAGGAGCAGAGGGGGAATACAGATAGGAGCAGAGGGGGAATGCAGATGGGAGCAGAGGGGGAATACAGATAGGAGCAGAGGGAGAATACAAATAGGAGCAGAGGGGGAATACAGACAGGAGCAGGGGGGGAATACAGACAGGAGCAGAGGGAAAATACAGATAGGAGCATGGGGGAATACAGATAGGAGCAGAGGGGGAATGCAGA